TCAGGCGAGCCCAGGGGGACTTCCTGGCGTCTGGACCTTCTGTCTCGGTTCTGTCTCCCTTCCAGGGTCTCTCCCCAAGCCCTCCATCCGGGCGGTGCCAGGTCCGGTGGTCCCCCAGGGGAGCCCTGTGTCCATCTTCTGCAGAGGGCCTCCTGGGACAGCTCGGCTGCGAGTGCAGCAAGTGGGAGGCTCCCGCGTGTGGGCTGAAGAAAGCCTGGGAGACGCCCAGGCTGAGGCCACGTTCTCCCTCCAGCGTGCCACGCCCGGCCACTCGGGGATGTATGTCTGTCAGTACAAGACGCAGGACAGCTGGTCCGAGAGGAGTGACCCTCTGGAGCTGCTGGTCGTGGGTGAGGGCCCCTCCTGTTGTCCCTCCGGCCCCGTCCTCCTCTGTCCACCCCTGCCCTCGCTGTGCTCGCCAGCTGCCTGCTGCCGTCCCCCACTGGTCACCTGATGGCTCAGCCCCACCCCAGAACAGGGCCAGAATCTGGGTCTTGGGCAAATGAAGAGAAGCTCCGGGAGTCTCCTGGGCCACTGTGGCCCTGTTAGCGTCACAGCATGGACGGCAACGTCAGCATCACCTGGAGTGAGTGAGAGAAGTGGCTTCGGCAAACTGAAGTAGGGAGGCACACGGCCACACGCCGCGTGGTCGCCAGGGCAGGTTTCCAAAGGGTGGAAACAACCCAAGTGTCCCTCCATGGACTGAATGGAGAAGGAACCTGTGGCCTATCACACAATGGATTGTCACTTGGCCACTAGAGAACTGCACACTGGCACATTGCGCAACGTAGCGGCACCTCGGTGACGTCAGTGCTGGTGGAAGCAGCCAGACACAAAAGACAGCGCGCTGCCTGGTTCAGTTCATGTGAAACTCCCACGTGGACAAGTCCACAGAGGGGCGAGGGGTGACCGCGTGACAGCTTTCTGGGCACAGGGTTCCTCTGTTGGACCTGGAGAGAGGAGGCAATGGCCCAGTTTTGTCCACGTACTAAATGCTTCTGAATTATTCACTTTGAAATGGGTTAATTTTACATTATGGGAATTTCACCTCCATTAAAAAAGACAGAAAGGTGATGAATGGACCCTTCCCCGCACCAGCCACAGAGACCCTGGGGGCCTGGGCAGGGCCGTGCCATGGCCGTCATCCTGGTGGAGACAAGAGGCCAGCCCAGGCTCTGCA